AACGATGTCGTCAGCAAAGCGGAGATGGTGTAGTTGCCGACCGTCGATCTTCACTCCCATGTCTTCCCATTCCAGTTGACGCATGACGTTCTCGAGAGAGGCGCTGAAGAGCTTGGGCGAGATGGTGTCGCCTTACCTTCAGAAGAAGTAAAATACATGTCAGTGACCATCCAGTGTCATTCGTGAAGACAGTGGGCACGAAGGCGGGATGCGGATTGTAATCGTTAACGTCACTGGTGGAAGAGCTGACCATGAGTGTAACGTGGCCAAGCGCTCTCTCGCAGCCTTCTCACCGATTGCCCTGGTAGCAACCGTACGCCTCCAGCACAGTGCACATCATTAGTTGGCTATATTGGTCGCGACAGCTCCTCTGATCGAGCTGTCCGGGACGGGGCGGTATACAGCTCATGTAACAGGAAACAATGCGAAAACTTCGCGAGAAAAAGAAAACATCTTTTTCCCAACATTGCAAACACAGATACAGAACGTAGAACGTACAATAGATACAGCCCCTCTCCAAAAACGACCGAATACGACCCGCTTTTTACAGGGCCCGTGAAACAAGAAAGTCAGCTAACAAAAAAATTTTTTCAGACCAACCACGACCCCCACCCGTATCCTCAGTGATGATGTGCTCTGTTCTAGGAATCTTGCCCATCGCCTGATATAGAGCACCACTTATGAGGAACTCACCTCAAAAGCACCAGTACTCTGTGAACACTGAAGATCATAATAAGAAACTGCTCGAAAGAGTAGAATAAACCGGCGAGGAACAGCACTATCTTCTCGGTAACGGGTCCATAGGGAAGGAAAGAAAAGGACATCACTTGCTTCCCCGACAACGTCTCTCTCTGAAAATAAAAATTCACAATTAAAATGTTTCTCAGGAGGAGATAGGATGGTTACTATATTTACAGTCATTTACACATTGAATGATGATAAATACCATCATTCAGTGTGAAACCTAAGAGCATCACTTGAGTGGCAGAAACACTGAATTCTTCCCTGAAGGGACGCAGACACGCAGATGTGGCGCGTTGTGGCCATGATCAGACATGTAGCCGGCCATGCGGCAGCGCGGGTGGAGTCTGGGACGGCACCCGTGTCTCGCTGCTCTCCAGCCTCGTTGCCACACACCCTTGATCAGCAAAAGTGGTACTCTAGACAGCTGTCGACCCATTCACTTCGCGCAGGGCACAATTCAGGACCCACGGGGGTGGGGTGCGGACCGCCTTGAAAAAATCTTATTCGTCAGAAATATTCATTGTTTCCCGAGGGTGGTCGGAAATTCAAAGGCAGCGCCCGCATTCATTTGATGTTCCTACGCCCTCCTTAGATATCGTAGCTTTGTCGACAAGGGTGGAGGATGTACTAATTTCGCAGCTCAAAAATACGAGAGGATGGCGCCACCCGCTTGTGAAGAGGATGCCGCCCCGCCCACCTGGCTGCCATAAC